ACTAGGGAATTTAATTTGCTTTATAAATCATTTATGGGGCATAATTCCACACATTATAAATCATTTATGGGGCATAATTCCACACATTGATTTGTATTATATCTGATTTTGCTATTTTTTTTACATAAAATGTTAAATATAGTATTTTATCTATTTTTCATAAGGATGGATCTTCTAAAACTGATAGATGTGTATGTGGTAGACAGTTCTTACTATTTTGGTTACTTTATTAAAGATTGATTGTTGGTTCAATTCTATTAACAGTTAATATTATTTTATATATAGTCTTCACTTAATTTTATTTTGAATAAAATTATTCAAATTTCCAATTTTTTTTCATTTATTCTTTTTTTCTACATGTTTGTCTGTTAAATATATATTAAAATAAAGAAGAAAAAGTAGAATATTTTTAAGATATTCCTGATTGCTATATTTACAGTTATCTCTAATGAGGTTTTAAGACTAGTTGCTTGATTGCCAAGAATCAAAGCCAATGTTTGGTTAGTTACTCTATTTGCCTGGATAAAGATGAACTTAGATCCAACTGGGATGCTTCCATCCATCTTGGTAATTATACGTCAGAGATAGAAAAACAGTATAAATAAATTGCTTTCATGCTGTCTTTTACCAAGTATGTATTCCTTTAGGATTAGAAAATGCTAACATTCTTATCATACAGCAGATTTGGGACATGGAATCTCAAAATAATTTAAATCAAATCTCAAAGACGTACAGTATCAGTTCTTTCAGAGAATCTTGGAAGAGTTTCAAGCGGTTTACTTGTGCTCATTTAATTATCTCAAGTATTGATAGGCATTTTCTAGAGCCTGCGTGCATGTGATCCCCTTGGTGTTTCTGTGTGAATCAGATAATTGAGTCAATTGTTCATGTCCTTTTACAACGTGAATTTAGTCTACAGTAGTGGCCAAACTTGTGGAAACCTTTTGGGAAAAGTGTATTTTCTAAAACTAGCTAATAACACCACTTTTTTTTTTGGAGTAGTACCATAAAATTATATATCAATGGAAAGATAATTTAATCAAGAATGTAATGCAATAACTTTTATGAAGGATTTGCTATTAGAATAGCAGTTACAGTATAAAGAAGTGAAACATGTAGAAAAAACAAGATATACAAAAATTATCACGTCAGTTAATATTTAGTTGGCTAACTTTTAGCATGAATTACAGCTTTACAACTTCTTCCCATGGAGTGAACCAAGTCTTTTAGTTCTGCAGCTGTTATAATGTGAAACCAAGATTGAATGATTGCTTCTATTACCTGGGTTTTATTGCTGGGTCGCTTCTGACTAACAAGTTTCTTTAGTCGACTCCATAGATTTTCAATTGGGTTAAGGTCTGTGCTATTCCCAGGTCATTCCAGCAGTGAAATATGATTATCTTGAAACTCCCCGGAAAAGTGGCCATCAAACCTCAAAAATACACTTTTCCCCAAAAGGTTTCCACAATTTTGGCCACTATTGTAACTGTTGGCTAAGATTCATTGAGCTTGTATTCAACAAGCTCCACTCTGACTAACCTCATATTCAATATTTAGTAATAAACAAGACTTTAAAGTTACATACTTAGTTGTCTAAAGAAATGTGCTATATTCTTGTTGCTCATACAGAATTAGTTATGTGCATCTTAGAGTAACATTTTGAAGACTAAACATACGGTATTCACAAATGAAGGCAAATATACGTGTCCCAGATTGGATCCTGCACTAAACATATTGATTCCTTTATCATTTATCAATATTCTTTTTCTTTGTTAACTTGCAATTACTCTACTCTTTTTGGTAGATTCTACAGACAAAAACAAGTAGCATTTTTCTTAATTTGCTATACTCCGTGCAGGGAAGTCTCAAAATGCAAAGAAGGGAAGACACTCACCTCTCTCTAAACAGCTTCCATGTGCTCTTCAGAAGAAGACCTGGAGAAAGTCAAAAACTGACAGGCTGGTGTCCTTCAGAATTTTTGAACTGCAACTTCCATCAATGAAAGCATCCTGGCAAATAGCAAGGGTGTATGGCATCTTTAGTTAAAAAAAAAATAGGAAAACTGTTCTCAATCTCAATCAGAATAGAGGTGGAAGGGACCTTGGAGGTCATCTAGTCCAACCCCCTGCTCAAGCAGGAGACCTTATAACCATGATGGCGAACCTATGGCACGTGTGCCAGAGGTGGCACGCAAAGCTCTCTCTGAGGGCGCCCACACTGTCACCAGCTGCTCTTCTACTTTCCAGTGCTGGAGCACTGGAAAACCGCTGGAAAATGGCTCAGAAAATGGCCCCAAAAACAGGCCATTTTTCAGGCCGTTTTTGGACCAAAACTGGCCTGAAATCAGGCTGAAAAATAGCCCAAAAACCAGGCATTTGTGTGCCGGACAGCTGCTCTTTTGGTTTCTGGCACCAGAGCACTGGAAAATGGCCTGGAAAATGGACGGAAAACTGCCCAAAAATGGCCAGAAAATGGCCCCCAAAACAGGCCATTTTCAGGCCATTTTTGGACCAAAACTAGCCTGAAACTGGGCTGAAAAATGCCCAAAAACCAGGTATGTGCATGCTGGCCAGCTGGTCTTCGGGTTTCTGATGCTCTGGCATGCGCAGATGCATGCACATGCACGTGCGTTCGGGTTTGGGCATTCGGTGCCAAAAAGGTTCGCCATCACTGCCCTATAACATTTCAGACAAATGACTGTCCAATCTCTTCTTAAAAACATCCAGTGATAAAGCACCTACAACTTCTGACAGCAAACGGTTCCACTGGTTGTTAGGAAGTCCTGACTGTTAGGAAGCTAGTTCCAGGTTGCTTCTCTCCTTGATTAGTTTCATCCATTGTTTCATGTCCTGCCTACAGATCTTTTGGTAAATAAGTTGACCCCCCCTCCTCTTTTTGGCAACTTCTCAAATACCGGAACATTGCTATCATGTCACCACAATCCTTCTTTTTTCTAGACTAGCCAGACCCAAATCCTGCAGCCGTTCTTCATTTCTTTTAGTCTCCAGGTGTTTAATCATCTTAGTTGCTCTTCTTCGCATTTTTTCCAAAGTCTCAACATCTTTTTTGTACTGTGGTGACCAAAACTGGATGCAGTATTCCAGGTGTGGCCTTACTAAGACTTTATAAAATGGAAATAATACTTCACATGATTTTGATTCTATGCTTCTGTTTATACAACCAAGGATTGCATTAGCTTTTTTTGACTGCTGTTGCACACTGCTGGCTCATATTTAAATGATTGTCCACTAGAACTCCAAGGGCCATCTCAGAGTTACTGTTTTTGAGCCAGGTTTAGCCTAATCTGTACTTTGGTTTTAAGTGTAAAACCTTGCTTTTCTCCACATTAAAGTTCATATTGTAGGATAGGGCCCATTGTTCAAGTCTTTTTGGAATTCTTTCTCAGCGAAGTGTTGCCTTCCTTGAGTATATCTGAAAAAGTATATCTAAAAAAGGTCCATTGTTCAAGTTTGTCAAGATCTTTTTGGCTCCTAAACTTGTCTTCCTGGATGTTGGCTATTCCTGCCCTCTTAGTGTCATTTTTACCTAGAATTTGTTTACTTAGTTTACCTGGTATTTGTACCTGATATTCTATTTACTTAACATCATTGATCCAATGGTAGCTTTTTTGTTTAATACTTCATTATGTATACCTCCAAATACTCCTGGGACAAAAACAAAGAAATTTTATTCTGCTTCTGCTTTCATGGCTGACTTTGCACTGACAAATGGCATTATTGTACGATGTTAATGTTTAAATGATTTTTTTTTTAAATAGCAAACAAAACACTTTTAGTGGTTAAGATCTCTTGTTACCGCTGTTTTGCTTCCTCTTGCTTTTGAAGTAGGCTTGCCAGGAAACTGATGATTCTACTTGCTTGCTTTTTGCTCGGCAAAGGGATTATGCTGTTATTTTCTAACAATTTTTACATAGAGAAAAAATCAAGATCATCCTGTTGGTACTAGGTCAGGTAATCATTATCTGGAATGTTGACAAAGCTGACAGCTATGTTTGTGATTCAATTGTTGCAACATCAAATAATGAATTTAATGTGTGCAGGTACAATCCCGAATCTGGCAATTACAAATAAAACTTTGATATTGTATGAAATCATCTAAACCGTGGTCTTTGGTTGAGTAACACTGAGCTATGAGTTATCAGTTATAATCCCAAAGGTGCTTTTTCAAGAGGCAATTAGACTTTCTGTTTTTTCTTTGAAGACCTTTCGCTTTCATCCAAGAAGCTTCTTCAACTCTGACTGGATGGTGGGGAATGGAAGGATTTATACTCCTTGCAGGCAGCTGATCATTTGCATACTTTTAGCAAGTAATTAAGATCACCTGGAGGTTTATGTCTGTCATCAGGATCATCTGAGTGGTGCAAATGGGTGTGGAGCCTTCTTGGAACTGTTGAAAGGATTGTGTTGTAGACTGGAGATAGATGATGTCATATCCCTCCCCCTCTATTAACAGAAGGCTGTTCTTTCAAAAGTACTTTTGGGACAACCAGGACCTGGATGACTGAGAATCTCCATAGATATCAGTTATAATGCAAGAAAGAACGAACTGCAGCACTAGATGATGATGATGATGATGATGATGATGATGATGATGATGATTCTTCTACATCTTCTTGAGGAATGGTTTTATTTTTTAGCTGTATCAGGGGTTCTTAGTGCTCTTTGAGTTTGGTTGTTTTCATGCATACATTTCATTACCCAAAGTATGTAACATCATCAGTGCTAGGCCAGCGTTAGCACTGATGATATTGCCTAGTTTGGATAATGAAATATCTGCAGCAACCAAGCTCAGAAAGCACCAAAGACCCTCATTATAATCCTGATCTACAAATATATTCAGTGTTATCATTACAACATGTGCTATGTTCTATTAATCAATAGAGTATAGCTTCTGTAACAATTTGCCTTTAACTCAAGAAATTAATACAAGAAGTTGCCTTACATCAGATGATCATATTATCGATCCATTTTTCTCAATAGAATCTATCTACACTGATCAGATGCAGCTCCCAAATTCTTCAAGGTTCTGTTTGGCGCTATCCTGTAATGCTGGTGAAATCTGTGAATTTAGGCATGTTGTGTCTAAGTGAATTGTGTCCACTCTTCTAAGAAGAGTTCAATTTGGACTTCTTTTTAAGGCCTGGTTTCTTCATATTATATCTAGTAAGTAGTCTTTTTTCCTCAGTATGTTATTAATCCTTGCAAGATGGTAACCTACATAATTTATATACCAATCTTCTTCCTCTGGAACTATCAAAGTGCTGTTAAAATTGTTCTTAATTCGATACTCAAATCCTCTTTTTAAAATCAGTTTATAAGATCCTGTGATTGAAGGAGAACCAGTTTGATGTAGTGGTTAAGGCTAGAAATTAGGAATCCATGAGATCTAATCCCACCTGAGGGGCAAGTCAGCTGGGTGATCGTAGGCCAGTCACTGTGAGCTCTAGGACAAAAGCAATGGGAAACTATTTTTGGGGAAAAAATGTTTCTGTAAACTGCATAAACTGTCCATGTAGTCACCAGAATTCAAGACTAACCCACAGGCACAGCACACCCAAGAAAGGAAATAGTAGAAACAGTCAACATCAATGTGTCACACCAGAATGTTAATATATTTTACATAGGATGAGTCCCAATATCTTTCAGTTTAGTAAACTTGTAATTTTGCCATCAAGTCTAATATTTTAAAAATCTCTTTTTTATATTATTCTTCTTAGTTGCAATCTTTATACTGAATATTTCCTAGTGTACAAAGAATGTGGGTAAAAGAAAAAAAGCTTTCAGTTTCTACAAATGGGCAAAAATATGTGTTGTCAACTCTGGAACAGTGGATACAATATATCTCTGGTGCCATATATCATATAATGATATCATTTTCTGACACTTCAGGAAATACATGTTTTCTTCTGTCGCCATCATTTTCTTATTAGAAACTGGGGAAGTGCCCATATTTGAGTGTTAAATTCTTTTTTTTTTCCTCAGCCACTAGTTACACTTATTCCCTTGTTAGACCACAGATATGCAGTTTCCATTATTTTTCATTCTTTTTTCCAAAACATTCATGTTTTTTCCCAACCTTGGGAAAATCTGTGGCTTTATTTTCTATTTCTGATAATAAATTCCCTATTAGAAGACAAAATATGGGTTCCGTAACTAATATAAATATGAGAGATTGTGATGAAAATTTAGAAAAATAACATTTCTGTTTTTCTGGCATGGCATAATGGTGTTTGTGATTCATTATATTTCTCCTAGTACATAGGTTAGGGACTTGTTTAGTTTCTGTAAGAATCATTACTGCTGTCATAATAATACTCTTTGTAACATGGTATTTCATATCCCTCAGCTGAAAGGCTAGGACTGGAGAGATAGTTTTTTTAAAGTATATTTTAGGAAGAATCTAATTTACTGGGTGCATTTCTGAAAAAAGCACTAAGTTTCAGTCATTATTCTTATTTTCTAAAAATGTTTGACCCACTGGTGTATTTGGAAATAAATACGAGGCCAGAATCAGAGTCAAATTGAGGTGTTCTGTTTTCCCATCTTTTAAATTATCTCTCTAGCTATTTATCATAAGTGGAGTTTGGAGAAGCTCAAATGATGGTGTATCAGCAGACATAATGCCCTCGGTATATTGCTTATTTTGTTAAGCCATTGGATCCAATATGAGAGAAAGATAAAGGAGAGAAAAATATTATGAACGAATAAATCATATGAGTTAGTGTGACTTCCTTAATTGAACAATACCTGAAGACCACAGCCTGACTTCTTTAAATGTTGAACTTCAAAATACTTAATCAAATTTTAATGTAGGTTACTTTGCTGGGTACTGTTTTTGGCTTACACAGTAATGATATTATCTATATATACTGTGTATTCATACAGACATTTTCTTTTCACACACAGAAATGTTATATAAAATCATAAAAACAATCAAAATGTGATAAGGTTAGGTTAGAAATGTAGGTTAGAAACATAATAAATAAGAAAAATAAAAATATATAAATCTTTTATAAAGATTTTATAAAGATTATAAAAATCTTTTATAAAGAAGAAGAGGAAAACAGGAGGAGGAAGAGCTACTATCTGGTATTCTTGGTATAACTCATCACCATCATCTTGAATATGAAAAAGAGTCAGTACCATGGATTAATAAGTGACCTGAAAGGAATGTTATCCTTTCTACTACATTTCTTGAAATGAAAAAAAATGAAGACAATAAACCTGCATTCAGCTAAAATAACATTTTGTACTGTATTGGTGGGAAAAATCAAAGTTTTATAATGGGCATGACCAAGTCCTATTGACTGATTAGCCAAGGGGTGAAATGCTACCAGTTTGGATGAGTTTGGACGAACTGGTAGTAATAAAAGCTACCAGTTCGGTTAACTCGTAGTAAAAAATGCTATCAGTTTGGATGAAATGATATTTCCAACGATCAGCTGTGCCACACGATTTATATTCACTAGAAAGCAGGAAATCCTACTTTCTAGTGAATCTAAATCACGTGGCACAGCTGTTTCCCCTCCCCTCGCTGTTCTACTTACGTTAGGAAAGGGTTCTTAAGCCTCCTTTTCAACACTGCGTGCATGAAGCACACGTTTGGCAAGCACCGCACATGCACGCACACGGAGTACCGGTAGCAAAGTGAACCGATAGTAGACCTCAGAGCATTTCACCCCTGGACCTACCTAATTATCAGTTTGAGGGGGTCTTAATTTTATTATATGATTAATTCAATATTAGAAAACTAATAATATGCAGAAGAAGAAGTGGGAGAACCTAAGGGCAGGGGTCAAAAAAGGAATCAGCCTAGAATCTCTATATAGTCACATATGGACTAAGTCCAACCTGCCCTTGAATTGGGTTAACCTGTAGTGCTAACTAGTAGTTGATTCCTGTGCATAGGCATGAGTAACTAAATCAGTTTAATTGGAACTTCGCATGTGGTCCTGCTCTTTTGTGTCTGGCATTAGATCACTCTAAGAAAAACAATTGTTTCAGTTTGGGGGGGGTTCCTACATACTCCTATTTTTTGGACCATTAATTTCAGCATCAAAAGTAACAGAGAAATGATGAGATTGATAGAATATGCATGGAAAGAAAGAATCAGGAAGGGATCTCAAACTTTATATCCTCTAATTTCTCAAAATTTAAAAGTGCTTTGGAAGAAAGTGCTGTATGTCTGAAAAATTATTTCTGGGGCAGTGTGCTCATTTTGCAATTCAAGTGAGTTCTTCATTAATCCTTAATATGGAATTTTTATTATGGCAAACATACACTTTTTCATAACTAGAGTCAGTGAGCTTATGGATTGCAAGCTTTATGTGACCTTATAGCAACAGATGTCAAAATCTGAATCCATGATTTACTATAGCAGGATATTAGGTTAAATGTCAGCAAATCAAAAACATATTAAAATAGAAGCATTTAGCAAAGGAAAAGATCTATTATTATCCCCTAATCTACACAAGAAATAAAGTTTATCCTCCCTTCTACTATTAATTTTGGAACACGAAGAAATTCTTTAAAAGTATAGATACTACTGAGTAATGGTAAATTCTTTTTCTAAAAATAAATATGTTATACAGACCTCTAGCGGTCAAATCCTGTATTTGTTGAGAAGTACATTTTGAACCAAATGAAACCATTTTATTCTTTGTAATATAAGTACCTTCATTTTCTACTGAAATCATCTTCAGGGAACAAATATAGAAGATTCTAGTTGAAAATAACTTTATTTTTTCAACGGTCTCTAGCCCTGCTTCCAGCAGATATTTTCACACAAAGCAATCAAAATTGCATTTTTTTGAAGGTATCAGAAGTTTTATTTTTTTCAAACTTGCACAAAGGTTTTTAAATAGTCCCTCCAACAGCATCCCATGCACAACAGCCAGAGGGCCCCTTCAAAGGCACCCCATGATGGTTGGTGGCAAAAATAGAACAATCTTGCTTCCCCTGAGAGCTTCAGTTACCTACATCTAAGCTATTTTGCTTCCTGGATAGGTTAAACGTTTTTTTAAAAACACCTCTTAAAATTCTGCTTTCTTAAGTCAGATCTTCCAATCTTTTTATGCTAATATAATGGAGGAACAAAAGGATAAATGATATTGCTTTTCTACAATGTTGTGGTTCAGTAATTAGCAATTTGGTAAAAGCTATTTTTTCAAAGGATACTACAAGAGTAAAGTTAGAATCTTGAAGTGGGGTTGATGTCAACCTTTGCCCCAAATTGGAATCCCGACAAATAATATCTTCTCCTCACTCAAATGCACCTGCTATTTGTCTTGAGGGAACAGTTTCCATGGAAGTCAAATGAAGCTTGCCCAGTGGTAGGATTCAAAATTTTTTACTCCTGGTTCTGTGGGTGTGGCTTGGTGGGCATGGCAGGGGAAGGATACTGTAAAGTCTCCATTTCCAGGCCACTCCAGGGGAAGGATACTGTAAAATTTCCATTCCCTCCCCACTCCAGGAGAAGGTTACTGCAAAATCCCCATTTCCTCCCAATTAGCTGGGACTGGGGAGGCAGAGAATAGATGGGGGTGAGGCCGGTCAGAGGTGGTATTTACCAGTTTTCCGAACTACTCAAAATTTCCACTACCGGTTCTCCAGAACTGGTCAGAACCTGATGAATACCACCTCTGAGCTTGCCCCATCTTTCAGTATGAAGTTGCACATGGGAACCAAAATAAATTAGAACAGGCAAAATAAAATAAAGTCCTATCATACATATTTCTCACCACAATTAAGGGAGATGCCATCATGTCAGCTCATTGAGGTAGACCAGATTAGGAAAACAAAGTAATGAATGCTACTAATTTTATCCAAAGGTTACAGTAACAGAATCTTGCAAGTCTGAATGGCGCCCTCCCTCTACCTTCCAGTGAACTAGGAAGGGAAATGCTGAGACACTTTCTCCATTCCCATTCCCATTCCTGCTTTGGATTCAGATTTACCTTATTTATCTTGGTTGTGGCTCTTTCTCTGGTTTCTCAAGGTTACAAGCTAAAAGATTTAGCTGCTTTAAAGAGTTGTAGATGGGTACTACATACATAGAAAGACTTTTAGAATCAGATTCAGAAATGCTGCAAATGCCTGGAGTACATCCCCATTCCTTTTATAAACACTTTCACACGGTTTCACGAATGGTTTCATAACTAGTT